TTTATCTGTACAAACTAATGTTGTTAAGATTTTGGCCACTAACAATGAGTGCTGGTACGACATATTACACTGCGTATTAATATCAAGCCTGTTCAAAACTCTAAAGCTCTTCTTGGTATTCTTCCTATATTCAGTAAGCTGTCGTCTGCAACGCTCCAATTTTTATCTATTTTCACCCCGTCTTATTTCTAGGGTATTCGAAACTATTCCCAGTACTCTGACAACGACTGGAACTCCTTTCACCTTCACTTTTCATACTTTCCTCAGATTTCTCACGAGTCAGAAATTATTATTATTATTATTATTGAGCTTGTCCTTTCCTTCGTTAGTCCGCACGACCGTTAAGGCCTGCCATTACCTCATAGATAATGGACTTTTCCGTTTTGATCGCGTGAGAAGATAAAACGACATCAACGACGCTACTTGAGTCAGAAAATGGAAGAAAGAAGTGAAGATTGAAGTGTTTATCGTCCGTTTCAGTGAAATGGAAAAAGTTGTCATTTTCAAATCTTTCCATTTTTACTCAAATGTTCAGCTCAAATATTTAACGATGCGATAAGAAAATTTCTACGGATATTTTATTGTCGTAGGAGAATTTCTACGGATAAGGGAATTTCTACAATAGGGTAATGTCTACGGATATTTTATTGTCGTAGAACCTGTCATGAGCTTATTCAATCATTAACTGAACAATTAAAAGAATCATCAGAAATTTAAAATAGGTAAACCCTGAAGCTTTCATGGGTTAAAACTTCTTCTTCTTCTTCTTCTTCTTCTTCTTCTTGTCGTCGTCGTCGTCGTTGTTGTTGTTGTTGTAACACCAGAGAGCGATTTAAATGAAGGAAAAAAAGGCATTGGTTAAAATGACTTCAATAGTAAGTCTGTCTTCAAGTTATATTTAAAATTTGTATAGAAACATAAATATATATATATAAAACAAGTCTTTGTATTTTTATTATTATTATTATTTTCTTTGATTTCTGGCGTTTACACATTTCTTTCCGGGTCCCGCCCAGGGACCTAAGGTTAGAAATGGCATCATGACACTTTCCACTGACAAAAAAAAAAAAAAAAAAAAAATTACATAGATAAAGCTCTTCGTAAAGTGTGGGCTGTACTTGTCAGAACAATTTTTTGTATCTCTTTGAGGCATGGACTTCCAGGAATCCCTTCAATTAGTCTACTGCAATCTTTTCCATCCAGTCCTGGGGCTCCAAATACAACAGGGATTGTTGATGTTCCCATATGCCACATTTTCGAGATTCTTCTTCTTCTTCTTCTTCTTCTTCTTCTTCTTCTTCTTCTTCTTCTTCTTCTTCTTCTTCTTCTTCTTCTTCTTATTATTATTATTATTATTATTATTATCATCATCATCATCATTATTTCTGGGCACGTAGCCGAGTGGTTAGAACGTACGCATCCTGACCGCGAGACCCAGGTTCGAGTCTCACCTTGTCCGATAACATCAGGAAGTAGTCGGATTGGGGGCACCTTTGGGAAGTGCCTGAAAACTATACCATGGGTTCACCCAAGACTTATGGATAGAAATTGGGTTGACGGAACCCTTGAGGGCCGTCGATAGCTGTGCTAGCACGAAGTTACAAGTCATCATGGCCGAGAGCTTGAGCGTGCTAGCCTTTTTCAAATTGTTGATCACGCTAGATAACACGTTCTTTCCCAGAAACTGCAACTAAGATCTTCTCAACATAGTTGCAGTATAAACCACAGGTTGGCTCTGTGGGTGTAGAATAAACACAAATGCACTTGAGCAAGCGTCTGCAATAGAGATAGGCTAGACGGCCTAATAGACGGGTATCCTCGAATACGAGTGGCCAGCTATACATACATATTATTATTATTATTATTATTGGTGTGCGGGTGGTGTAAGAGATAGCGGTTCGTAATGAGAAACCGGAGATCCGAGTGCAAATTCCAGTTAAGATCATTGCATTCACTTACGCTCACGTACCCTTAGAAAAGGTACCTATCTCTCCTACTCAACCTAGTTATTTGTTAAATAGTAAGGCATATTTGGCTCTTTAGCTTTGGTTGGTAACTAGTATATACTCCTCAGAGAGTTTACGGTATTTGATTGTGAGTGAGTATTATTATTATTATTATTATTAATATTACTGAATCCATCATAAAAATTCAGCAAGTAGAGTTAGCAAATACTAAACACTTCAAATACTTCTGTGGATGGATCATTTATGACAAATACATTTTAGCGGATCGAACATAGGATGTCCTGCGCTCGGCGTAGTCTCGCACAATACCTCCAGTTACTACAAAATCAAAATATTAACCTAAAACCTCGAATCAAAAGTGTGATCTGATCGATATTGTCATATGGGATTCATGCATAGCGATAAACTCGTCCGGAGATATCTAAACTGTCAGTTGTCGTGCGCGGACGAGATGCCGAATGCACTTTTGCTGAAGGACAAGAAGCCGAAGCCAAGACGCCAAACGGACGTTTTTACGGTCTTTGGCTCAGTTCAGTTAGTTATGTGCCATGCGTGATACACGCTTAGACGATCATGTATCTTTCGATACATGACTGACGAGGCAGATTTTTTTTCCCGTAGTAGGTTGCCATTTCATTCTGCGGTAGACCAGTTGCCATCCAAGGCTATAGAACCCGGTATGTCCTGCTATTTCTCATAGCTGGGTGGAGAAGAAGAGGATTCATACTTTTCCCAAGGGTATTAGAACGTAAGTGAATGTAATGGATTCGACTTGAATTGGAACTCGACTCTTCTTTAAATACTCTTATTTATTTTTGTCTTGTACATTTTAATCTGTCAATGGTAACACTTTTAAAATAAAAATCTGATCACATTATTTTCGTATGTTTATATTGTAAAGAAACCTATTTAAAAAGTGAGTTTTTTGTATTTATTTTTTAGTTTTAGTCTGTCAAATTTTCATATTGTAGAAATAAAATGACTATCATATACAAAAGGCCCTCAGGTTACGTCGGACCCAATTATTATTATTATTTTTATTGTTATTATTTCCTTGACTTCATCGAATATATAAAAAAAATCTTTAAAACATAAAGTTCTCTGATAAAAACAGCGCTAATACAGAGCAAGTTTGGATTCATCAACTCGTTTCTCTTAGCAAACAACAGCCATTTTTTCTTACTGGAGATAACCAGAGAATGATCGGAAGGGTTAGAAACGATGGATAATTTCTCCAGGGTCTTGGAACAATCATTTGATACAATGTACGAAAACAAGAAAAACTACAAATTAATTTTTGGTTTTGATATGCAATAATTCTCTCTCTCTCTCTCTCTCTCTCTCTCTCTCTAGGAGAACTTCACTTTATTTAGTCTGATGAAGTTCTAAAGAATGAAATGAGTCACCGAAAATTTTCCCCACTTTGCCATGTATTTTTCTGATACACACACACACACACACATACACACGGAAAACTGTTTTAATACAAATTAAGATGTTTCACACACACACGCATATATATATATATATATATATATATATATAGTCATCCACAGACAGACTATTTCGCTGTTTCACAACTCTTCAGTGTGGCTAGACACCCGGTTCCCTCTAGCTAGGATCGAAACCCGACTGAATTGCACGGCGCCCGGCAGGGATGAAGGTGAATTTTAGCGTATTTATTTTTAAACACACACAGTGACCGACAGTGACTCAATTCGCTTTTGCCGAAGAGTCTCGCTATATCAGCCATAATAGTCACTGTTTACAAACCCACACCTCCTCCCCAGAGAGCTCAACTGAAATTAATTTTTCAGGAGCCAATAATATATATATATATATATATATATATATATATATATATATATATATATATATATATCAACTAACTGGTCACTTTGTTATATATAGTCTTAACGAATCGGTGTGTGTTTTGGTTTATATATATATATATATATATATATATATATATATATATATATATATATATATTGCACAGCTCTGAACACACGCACACTGTAAGGTGAAGCCTAAACAAAAGAGGGATTGCAAAATAAATTCTGATGTTTAGTCTGATTTTTGTGAAGTGACATTTTAAGTGTGTATCTATGTGTGTGTCTATGTGTGTGTCCATGTGTGTGCCTATGTGTGTGCCTATGTGTGTGTCTATGTGCGTGCGTGTATAAAGAGAGTCGTAGACAAAATTTTCTCTTTTTATCAATATTTTTTGGAAGATCGCGGCCATTTTTTTAAGAAGTAAGATTTTTTACCTGTTTTCTTCCAAACATTTAACATTGATATTTCAAACTTTTCGATGAATTTCTCGGAATCGGCCTTGAATGTTGGCTAGCCTCTTCTTTTGTAATTTTAGTGGCTTCATTGCCTTATTTGGGAATAATGATTAAAGAAAGCGTTTTATATATAACTGTTTTATAAGTGAGCTAAATTATTTCCAGCTGTGTCTAGTTTTATCAAGATTATTTATATAGTTCATGCTTTTATTTACATGAATTTGATCATCTTTCTTCTTAGCATTAATTAAGACTCATCAAATTAAACAAAAATAACCCAATCACAACATAAATAAAACATAACTTATCTAAACTTAATATAAAATTTGTTACAACTACTTCTAAAACATACATAACTGTTTTTCTTTAGCCATATTTTGTTTCATTTAATTGGATGTTGTTCGAATTTGAACGATATGTTGATTGATTGATCGATTGATTGATTGATCGATTGATTGATTGATCGATGGATTGATTGATTGATTTTTGCTTACAGCTTAGCGACCTTTTGCAGGTTATTTAAAACCAGAAGATTAGTAAGAATTTTTTGGAGATAATCAGGATTTCCTGATACAAGTCCTAATAATTAATCCATAGCTGGTGTTGTGTGAAAAAGTGGGTTCATGCCTTTCCCAAGGGTATTTGCATGTAAGTGAATATAACGAATCCGACTGGAACTGGAACTCTGCTCTCCGATTTACAAAAATGAACCATTATCTATTATACAACCTGCACATCCAAGCTTACAGCACCTTGTATTCTCAAGCGGTTACCCATCTAGGTACTAATCAGGCTCGACATTGTATAACTTTGGTGATCGTACGAGAAATGGTGTTGCAACGTGATATGGCTCACTCATAATTATTATGGGACCTTACCCATAATAACATAATGGACTATTCCAGACGTAATAAATACTGCGCCTCAAGAGGAAGCAGAGAGTTCAGTCCGAAGTTGGGCGACCGGCTGATCGGTTGAACTCTCTGCCTTCGGGCGGGGAAGAACCCGAACGAGGCTACGCCGAAGGACGGAGTCTTTTTCGGGGTGTTAAACCGACCCTGAACCCGTTTATACGGGTTCAAAGGGCATATTTTTGAGCCCACGGGATCGGAGATCCCACGTTAAACCGGCCTTGTGCCACATGATACCTTCGTGGTGGGGTGACGAAATACTGTTCAGTCTGAAGTCTGGAGTGAGGTCCGTCAGGAGTCAATCAGTCGAGTCAGAGGCAGTCCGAAACAGAGTCGCGTTCAGACAATTACTACTAAACCTGATTGTTCGTACTAACATTTTCTACTTCTCTGTATATATTCCTGTTTGTAATATATCTGTGTTAGTCCATATCCGTGTTCGAGTTCTTTTTTATTGGTTTCTACCTTGGACTATCACCGTGGTACAAGGAACCGGACCATAACAATAATATATTGAAGAACTGCAATATGTTCCTGCATATAATGGTGAATATATAACTGAATAAAATCTAGTTGTATTCTTTTTTTTTTCAAGAATAAACTTTGTAACAACGGAAATTATTTATGATTCAACATAATATTACATAACTGTAGTAGTTTGCTAAATATCCGAAACTGACTGAAATTGTCTTGTCTCGAACCCAGGTAAAAAAAAAATGGACAAAAGTTTATTCTGGTTTTCGAAACTATTAGACCCTCCCCACTTAAAAAAATAAAATGGCGAAACTCTATTTCTCTACCCTTCTTTCCTCATGCAGCCTTGATAAACTTAGGGAGTATTTGTTGTTCTTGGCCATTGACATAGTACAGTTGCTTATTTCACAGAAACGTTAGTATCCGTTGTTCGAATCGACGGAGAAACTCTTTACTGATTATTCTGGCTTGTAGGTCCTTCCCATTTGGGAGATTGACGCAACACATTCTTCCACGCCACCCTTTGCTAACCTCATTAAATACAGACACGTGTTAACATGTCCAACACCAAACGACGGTATTTAAAGTCCTCCTTTTGGTATTCGCGCCTTGTGTTCGTTTTCTTCTTCGCACATTGCTTTGTTTAATATCAACATTTCAACGATATTTTAGTATCCGGGATATTTTGAGGCCTACACGCGATAGCGAAAATTCTATTGCGGTGAAGGTGTTAAAGTAGTTTTAAACACAGTGATAATAATGTCAGTTCAAAGATGGGTTTAATGTCTGCTCGAAATGCATTATGGGAAATTAATTTGTTACGAAATCATCGTGCAGTCGTAAATGTCGCTCGGCCGCTGTACAACAAGTCTTTAAAAAGTGGTTTTATTTATCAAGAAGACAGAATTATTTCTTCTCGTCGAAAAAAATAAAAAAAAATAAAAAAAAAGAAAGTTCAAATGATTAACAGTTTCACGAGTGGCTGGGTAATTTAAAAGCAATAAACTCAGCATATAAAAAAAACATTTATAAGTATATTTCGCAGTTTTTATGCATTCATCACTATCAACGAATAAATTGCCGACTCTTGAACGTGAGATGTGCGGGTGGTGTAACGAATAACGCACACAAAGAAGAAAAGTCAACTTAACACCAATAAAAAGTGCATAATTTTGTTTTTTTTAACTTAATATAAAAATAACCAAAACGAGAAAATTAACAGACATTTGCTGATACCGACTGGCGCGTGGATTAAACACTTGCCAAAGGTTCGTCTACGAAACTCCGTAAATAGAGGTGCTGAATATGACATCACTCAACTACAGTGTAACTCGGATATAAGAGAGTTGTCGGGACCGGAGAAGAAGTCTCTTATATCCGGGTTTCTCTTATATCCGGGTTTGGTCTATTTTGTTTAGGTAAGTATGGGCTCTAATTTGGGACCAGAGAAAATCTCTCTATTATCCGGGTTTCTCTTATATCCGGGTTTGGTCTATTTTATATACATCAACACAGGCTCTAATTTGGGACCAGAGAAAATCTCTCTTATATCCGGGTTTCTCTTATATCCGGGTTTGGTCTATTTTATATACATTAACACAGGCTCTAATTTGGGACCAGAGAAAATCTCTCTTATATCCGGGTTTCTCTTATATCAGGGTTTCTCTTATATCCGGGTCTCTTATATCCCGGTTATACTGTAAGTGACAAATTTTAATATAATCACACACACACACACACACACACACACACATATATATATATATATATATATATATATATACTACAGTTCTAAAGTTTGTGGAAACCCCTAGTATTTTTTTAATTGGCCCAAAACGTAGACGGTTTATATTCTAAATAAGAGAAATTTGTTATACATGTTTAAAAAAAAGTGAAACGTGATTTTTATTAGAAATTTTATTATGACAAAAACAAAAAAAGGAGCATTTTATGATTAAATTTTGCTCTTGTCAAAATGTCCTCCTTGAGCCTTGATGACTGCAGCCCACATTTTTGGCATTTGCTGCAAAAGTTTCTCAATGTATAAGTTTTACATGTACTATTTTATAATATAATATTTTATAATATATTTTATTATATAATATATTGATTCCATTTTTTTTTTTTCAATGACTTTAAGAGCTCTCTTTGCAAATGTTTCACTCTTCTGTCAAATTCATTCCATGCTAATTCTGAGGGTGACTTCAAACTTCTGAACTGTGGTATATATATATATATATATATATATATATATATATATATATATATATATATATATAATCTTCTCTCTGTTTCTCTGTGTATGCACATGTTGGGGCATGTGCATCTATGTATGTATAGACTTCCTACTCACGTCTGTCAATGTCTAACATTCTCGACCGTCTGTCGCAGCGTGACGTTTGAGTTTGCTACACAGGCGAATTATATTCGCAATGAATTTGATTCTCACTAGGTGCATTGCACTTGTGACCTTGAGCAGGCGATGTTTCTGGAGAATTACCCGACGTGTATGCCAGGGAACTTCTCTTAACCCTTACGAGATGGCGCTGTATAAAGCAGTGTGAAAGGCTCAACAGGGAGACCAACATCAATTGCCTTAAGAGGGTAGTGCTGAGGAAGACCCTATATCTGGCAAAGATATAGAGTCTTCCAACAATTTCATTTCTGTCATATAGTTAATAATTACTATTTAATAAATGTTTATCGTACTGATTATATTATTAGCCTTTCGTTTGCCCTTGTTTTATTATCTATTTACCTATCTATTTTACATATTATAAGAAGCACACGTGGACCCTTTTTTTATTATATATATATATATATATATATATATATATATATATATATATATATATATATATATATATATAAAAGAAGAGAGAAATCGGAAACGTTTTTAGCTTGTAATGTAGATTTTTTTAAAAATGTATTATTTTTATTTTCTATAATTTTGCTACACGCGTTCCCGGTCTCCATCAATCAGGCAAAGAGTGAATATTTCAACACATTATTATAAGAAATTCATTTTTTTGATGTTAAACATTCTCGATGTTAAGCTAAAGTGTTAGCGACACAAATGTATTCTTTGAACTGGCAATGAAAAAGTTGTTCTACGTGAAGGCTAATAACACAATTAAGATTAGTCCGAGAAAGGGTGAGATATCTAAAGACATCTTTAGTCTTATCTTTTAATGACCCCTGTGTGTTCGTAGATCTATTTCCATTTTTTGTATTGTATGTGTTTTGTCAGCATGTGTATGTATACGTATATTCCCTCTCCATACATACATACTATCTTATTATAAGGAATTAGTATATATATATATATATATATATATACTTACACACATACACACACACATACACCCACTTACTATGTTGTGTAGGGTTCGCGTGTGTGGCAGTCTTGTTTCCTGCCAATATGTGCATATATACACTGGTATGCATATGTATACGCGCATACGGGAGAAAGAAAGAAAGAAAGAAAGAAAGAAAGAAAGAAAGAAAGAAAGAAAGAAAGAAAAAGAAAGCGAGAGAGAGAGAGAGAGAGAGAGAGAACGAGTGGTTGATGAAATGATATTCTAGGCCCAGCTTCAACTTGCACTAAACTACAGTAACGTTGTACCCAAAGAGGATTAACTACTATGTGTATAGGTGAGTTAGGAAACTCGTGCCGTATATACTCTAGCAGAGTGTGAGTTTTTATTGTCATTTTCTGCGCAAAAAATACGTGGCTGCAAAATACCCAGGTAATTTTTTGAAGGGGTTAAAAATTCATGCATTTTCGGTGACCGTTTACACTATACACAGGTAAATTCAATGTTCGCACTATACATGAAGTCGACATCTACACAAGTATATACGGTACTCCTGTATATTACTAAACGCTACGAAAATAGGAAGCTGTAGAAAGCCATGACCGTCCACGTCCTGAATCGACATAGCGAATAGAAGAATGAACTTGGTAATTTTAAGGTTTATTTACTGGATTAAGGCAACATTCATTTGCGCAGATGAATGAAAGCCGGTTCGTTCTGCGCAGACGTAAAAAAATGTCTTCCGTTTGAAAGAACCATCTCGAATTTCTAAGTCTCGACTTAATAGCCATATCGCCCGTTTGTAGCTTTAAAATGGGTCGTAATATTGGTTTGACAAATAAACAGCTATGTTTATGACTTCATAGCTTGCAAAAGGTAAAACAACTGGAAATTACAAAAATGGTCGGTAGGTGCCAGCGGACTGTAAAGAACGTCGATAACGATCGTGGGCGACTCCGATGTGGGTTTGATAAGGGCAAGTTGAGTGCTTTATCTCACCGATTTGAGTCTCATATCGCAAGAGAAGTTATAGTCGTCTTTGTCAAGCTATGAAACTTCTCAGAGTGATGACGTAAAAGAAGTGACAAAATGTACAAGATGTCGGATCCTAAATCAAGTGGAAAAACATGTGAGACCTCTAACTAAGCTACTTTAAAAGACATCGTTAATCGAATAACATGGGCAACAGAATACCTGAAGATCGATTTTTTAATCATTCTTTCTTCGTGGTCTGGATGGTGCAAATCTGGGTTGCTGTTGGCGGAAACTGCCCACACTTATTGAGACGTCAACAAGACGAAAGTGGAATTGTATTTTGTAGTGACATTTAAAGTTAAAATGGTGGGCCCATGGGAAATTCCAATTTGTGTTACGATGTAAGTTCAAGTCATTTTTTGAAAATATGAATAGTCATATTTCAAGAAGTCCATCGGACCTTGCACCAATTCATCATTACCTTTTAGATTACTGCAAAATGCTATGATGAAGAAAACTTTCTCTAACGAAAATCACGCATAAGACTTTCTCGAAACGGTTCTACGAACATTCGCCTTAAACATTTTTGCTTTAGGAAAAATTTTCACCGTAGAAAACTTTGCCGTATAGGATTTTTGCCGTAAGACAATTTCACCGCCTTTTTTTTTGTTTAATATGCGAAGTACCTTATTATCAAGTATATCTGGCTAACACTATTGTTACTATTGTTATTAAGCGATGTTATAAGATCAATATCCTACATCATTCATCGTCGTCAATTTGTTGAAACTAATTGCGTATTTGAAAAAAGGAAGAGACATTAGCAAAACAGAAAAAGGCTGATTTAGATGGAGGAGATGCAACACAAATGAAGAATATATATATTGATATCAATGCAAAGACTTCAGAGGAAAATGCTTCGCCCAGCGGAAAAAAAAAGAAAGAAAAAAAACCAAAAAAAAAAACACATTATTTACGAAGCATTGCTTGGAATTTGCACAGATTTTTGTTAATTTGATATATTTTTAGTCTTTTATTTTTTAAATTTTTGTTTTTTTAATTCTTTTCTGATGTTTGACACTGAAAAAAAGATATCCATATATACTTCGCATATCAAATTGAACATTACTCCAAAAGGGACGTTCAAGATAAGGGTATCGAAAAAAAAAAAAAATGAGGCGAAATCGTCTTACGTCAAAAATCATATACGGCGAAGTTTACTACGGCGAAAATTCCAGAGGCGAGTTTTCCTACGGCAAAAATGTTTACGGCGAATATTCCGGATACGTCTCGAAATCTTTTTCACCTTAAAATTTGCGGAATTCTGGATATTTTTAAGTATTTTGGAAACTGTGAAGTCGGATTCATACAAGGAAATAGAAGAGGACATCAAAATCAATGGCTAAACAACCGGTAAAAATAGTTTCAGTATATGAACCAAGAATTTCCCATTAATACCAGATTTCTATTCGAAATATTTGTTTTTGAAAACATATGCATATTCTATAAATATATATATATATATTTTAACCCCGAATATTACTCTCACTGCCGCTAGACAGATGGAGCAAAACCTGGGTTACTGTTGGCGGAAACTGTCCCCACCTATCAACAAGGTAGAGATGAAGAGATGTTTTGGAATGACATTATAGGTTAAAGTGGTGGGACCATGACAGTTTCCAGATGGTGTTACGATGACAGCTCAAACATAAAGTCATTTTTTGAAGGCACAAGTTTAAGTGTTTCAAGAAGAAAAAGCTTTTAGAAAGATGATGATTTTTTTTTATATCCGAAAAGAATCTAACACATTCGGTGAAAAAAAAATCTAATGAATATGGAAATAAAATCGGCCATTTTGTTCGCTTGAACTTAAATACATTGAAAATTTGCGGAACTTACCGAAGAGGAAAGTCTGAATTAGTGGGAAAAAGAAAAAAATTATTTTTTGTGATACTATTTTGGATTCTGTGCAGTCTATTTCAAACGAAGAAAATAGAGCCGTTCGAAAAACAAAAAAACAAAAACAAAAGTAGATGAACAACAGATGAAAATAGTTTCAGAATATGAAAAATGTCTTTTTATATCTCTGAGATGAGGTATTATGATTACTTGCAATTTTTTACATTATTTGGTGTTATCCTCATCTTCATTGCCATATTCACAACCTTTCGGCCGTTCTACACTCCGGCCTTTTTCAGGTGATTGGTTAGAGCCAGTGACTAGACCCAAAGAGTTGTGATTTCAATACCAGGCTACAGCAGTGGTGAACCAAAACTCAGAGAGTTGAGTCAAAGAGAAATATCTGAGACATCTGGAAGAGGCATGGCACATGGAACTAGAACAATCCACCCCGGTGGACGTTATAAAATGTTTGGTTCGAAATTCCAATCACCTGAAGAAAGCAGGAGCGTACAACGGCCGCAACGTTGTGAATATGGCATTGAAGATGAGGATAACAGTTTGAATAATGTAAATAATGTAAATAATCATAATACGACATTGCAGAGATCCAATCACCTGAAGAAGACCGGAGCATACAACGGCCGAAACGTTGTGAATATGGCAGTGAAGATGAGGATAACAGTCTGAATAATGTAAATCATATAAGTAATCATAACACCTCATCTCAGAGATCCAATCATCTGAAGAAGGCTGGAGCGTACCACGGCCGAAACGTTGTGAATATGGCAGTGAAAATGAGGATAACTGTCTGAATAATGTAAATCATGTAAATAATCATAATATCACATCTCAGAGATCCAATCACCTGAAGAAGACCGGAGCGTAAAACGGCTGAAACGTTGTGAATATGGTAATGAAGATGAGGATAACAGTCCGAATAATTTAAATAATGTAAGTAATGAAAAATGTATTTCATATTTTTTCTGTATTCTTAAGTTTATCATCATAGCAATCAGACTAAAACTTTGTGCGTATTCTGTAATTATAATTTTTAATTACGGCATAATGCTCTTTAGACTTTCATTAAGTTGTATAATAATATTATTTTTGGAAAATTTGTTAAACAAAATAAAAGTCCTTAGAGCAACAACTAAGTTTTAACGAAAAGGAAAACAAAATGGACACATATTTAATACTAGCAGTAGAGCCCGGTGTTGCCCGGGGATGTAACAGTAAGAGATAGATCAAGTATCGACCATCATAAAGACTGAAAAATAAAATTGACAAAGATTATTGTTTAAGGTTGACGAACACGCATGTCTTAATTAGTTTTTTGTTGTTTTTTTTTTTTACGAATTGGTCAAACCCAAACTCAAACAAAAACATTGTTTTCAATCGTTATGAGTCTACCGATTGAATAGAATTTTATTATAAACAATTGTCTTGTAAATGGAATTTTTAAAGCATTCTGAATGTAAAAATAAAGAAAAAAGTGTGCAAGACAATAAGAAACACTACCTGCCAAAAAAAAGTGAAGTTTTGTTGAAATCAGTTGAAAAATGTAGAAAATCCGATCCCATATATAAACGAACACAGACACACAGACACACAAACAACCTGGGTTTTATAAGTATAACTCGATATAAGTTGTCCCCCTTTCATTCTCGCGACAGCGATGCCTCTTAATCGTGTTTTCAAATTGATTTCGTGCAAAAACATATGTGGTTTTCCAATTTGGGGCGCTGTCAGAACCACCGCAAGGTCATTTTACGTAGTCCTGTGAAGTTTTGTTGAAATCGGTTGAAAAATGTAGGAAATCCGATCCAATATATAAACGAACAGACACACACAACCTGGGTTTTATAATAAATACGATTAACCATAAAAAAAAAAAACAATTTAAATTTCAGAGGCGCATAATGAGGGCTTGGAAGATTTGATACATACAAGATATATGAAGGCAACCGAAACAAAAGAAAACAGCATATCACCTACCTAGCGAGATTGTGGAAATGGTTGAGAGAATAGAGGCTCGGAGGAATAGCAAAAAGAAAAAAAAACTTACTCAGAGTTACAAAAGAGAAGAAGTTGTGGAGATCCATAACCGGCCCATTTCTTGAAGGGACACAGCATATAGAAGAAAAATTAACGGATTTTAAGTTTAACTGAAAAAAAAACGCAAATATTGTTTGATAGTGGTGTAATAATTTAATATTATTTAATAGTGATGTTCACTTTTATATATATATATATATATATATATATATATATATATATATATATATATATATATAAGTGAACATTGAAGTCAACACTCACAGGCGACAGACTGTCTCATGCTAGAACGTAATCGTCAGGCGGCCTGACTTTTATATTTATATTTACATACGCTCTATCTCTGACATTGAGCACTTTATCCCATAAATATAGCACACCTTAAAAATTATATTATTTCGTATATATATATATATATATATATATATATATATATATATATATATATTAGTTTTTTGTTTTGCACAACTGTCTTGAAGATCGTTTGTCTTATTTCACTTTCTGATTTTGCTTATCTTAAAGTTAAATTTATTCACTTTTCCTTTTTGACTTTAATTTATTTTACCAATTGATATTTTAGGAGTAAATGCTGTCAAAAAAGTAATATAAATTATTTTTGGTGTTATAATTCAAAATCTCCGTGTACATCGGACTTAAATATAGTAACTGTTTTTAAATATATCATAACAAGTGATAAAAATGGACTACTTACGACAGTTTTAAACGCAAAAAAAAGCAGTTGAGTAACAAGAATAAATCTCCATAACCAAAGAAGGATAATGCACATGTAGTGATATCGCCGGTTTATTTTAGAGTTCTTAAAACGCAATGAAACACTAAATGCAAGTTTATACGTCCAGCAGCTGCAACATGTCCATAAATGTTTCGTGGAAAAACGCCCTGCAACCGTCAATAGGAAAAAAATTATTCTCCACCATGACAATGTAAGATTGCAGAAAACAAGGACACCACAGGAGAAAAAATTGGAACTCGGTTAGTCTCTTCGAGCCCGATTTATTCATCTTATCTTGCATCAACCGATTATTATTTTTCTCGTAACAAAACCTGCGAAATTGTATCCA